CTTACACTGGGGGGGGGGGGGGAATTTTTTTTCGGTTCACCTTTGGGGCTTAGCAGGAAGAGTGTTGAAATTATGTTGGTATTGAGAATTTAAAACATTCAAGGTGACTTTACACAACAGATTTGTATCATCAGGATTGAACCAAGGGAAAAAAAAGCGCTCGTCATCTTCATCTTTAGATTTAAAAAAAAAAAAAAGAAAGAAAGGGGATCTCTTGAGAAGATGTAGTCTCATGAGAGTCACTCTCTAGTTCTGGTGTATAGTAAAGCTGGCTGTTAGGACTGCTAGTGTGATTGAAAAATAACTCTAAACAGGGAAGGCTTTCAATAGACAACAATACAGAACTTGTAGATGTACACCATAGTTAAGAAAAAGAATTAAATGTATAACTGAACTCTGAACTGAACCATGGATTGAAATTAATCCAGAGGCACCAGCTAGCCTTGTTTAAGTGCTCTTTTAGTCTTTTTTTTCTCGCCTGTTTTTAATATCGTTTTACCTTGTATGTTTTTGCACCCTGTCAGACACTGATCGGTAGTTTCAGTGATTGCGATCTGGTGTGTTGTGAGTTATGGATTTTTTCTCACTTTCCCTGTGGTCCCTGTTGGAGGTGTCTGGTGGAGGAACCCCTCATCATGGGTCATTGTGAGTGTGTGTAGGTCTTTGTTGGTCATTGCGTAGGTCTTTGTTGGTCATTGCGGGTCATTGTAGAGTAGGATTTTTTCCCCCTTGTCTTTTTTGTCTAGCTCAACCACCTTTTGGTCATGTACATTCGCTCTTTCGTTCTTTTTGCCCTCCACAGTTCAGCAACATCGTGGTCAGCCGGAGGTACAAGCATTTTGATTGGCTCTTGGAACGACTGGAGGCCAAGTTTGTGTGCATCCCCATCCCTCCTCTACCAGATAAAGCTGTCACGGGTAGGTGGCTCTTCAAACGCCAATACTGCTTGGTACTGTTGAGGTATACCGGCACTTCTAGCACTTTAAGGTTATATAAGAGGCAAGATGTTCCTCTGGTGTCTGTCTTGACGAGGTCACATTGTAAGGTTATATAAGAAGCAAGACATCTGTTTGATGTATGTCTCCGATGAGATCGTGCCTAGTGGATGGAGGGCCAGGAAAACTCCTCACCCGAGTTCTTGGGAAGCCTAAGTGGGGACTCGAACCAAGTTCATTCCCATTGTATTAGCATGACTATCGGTATACCCATTCAGTATGATTTGTAGAATACCACTCTTTTAGTTCATGAAATATTAGTCTATTTACACGAATCTGGTTGTCATGCAAATTATTGGGGCAATGCTGAAAAAAATTATGCAATGTCTTTTAAATGAGTGGTAAAAGTAAACTTTTGATCCCACGTTTAGAACAGTCTTGACTAGGAAAACTGATCCTGGGTCATCAGGATGAATATCAAACACTAACAACCCCCCCACGCTTCCCTCAATCCCCAGGTCGTTATGAGGATGACTTTATACAGGAGCGAATGCGTCAGTTGCAAGGTTGGGTCAACCGCATGGTGCGTCATCCAGTCATCTGCCGCAGCGAGGTGTTTCACCATTTTCTCACCTGTACGGACGACAAGGTAGGTCTATGACACACACCTGCTGTGTGGGCTGAGTGTTGGATACTTTTTATCTCTCACTTCCCCACTGGTCTCTGTTCCCTGTTGGAGGTGTTTTGTGGAAGAATCCTTCCTCGTGGGTCTTTGTGGGTCAATGTGGGTCTTTATTGGTCATTACAGGTTATTATAGAGTAGTTGTTTTGTTTTTTTCCAATCTTTTTTGTCACGGAGCAGAGTTTTTTTTTGTTGGTGTGTAGTTGTTTGTTTGTTGTTGTTTTGTTTTGTTTTTGGGGGTGGGGGTTGGGTTGGGTTTTTTTCTTAATCTGGAAGCAGTTTAGTTTTGTTTATCTTACCAGCTTAAAACTTTCTCTTTTTTGCTCATTTCTACTCGTATTTTTGTGTACAAACCAAAAAAAAATTGATAAAAATTGCCGTTGGAAAATTATTAATTTTTGTGTTCCTTAAAATTTGATGAACACCTAATTCCTCCGCGACGACCCTCAAATTCTCTTCTTTTAAGTTTTCTGCCTTCCAAGCTTGCTCGAGATAGGAAGCAAACTATTATAGCTTTGGGTGATAGTCTAGCACCTTTCCTTTCATCTGCCCCTCCACATTACCTATCACCATTTTTTCACAGCTTGGAAAATCAATAAACTAAGGAGTTCTCTTTAATTTTGGTTTTGTTTTCTCAGAAATGGAAAAACGGCAAACGCAAAGCAGAGAAAGATGAGTTCCAAGGTGGAAAGTTTTTCCATGTTCTTCAGACGCCAACTGAGCAGTTGGACATTCGTGACATGTAAGTGGCTTAGAGAGAAATCTGTCACATGGCTAAGGAAATGAGTGAATGCTTTGACTTATCATCACAGCGCTAGCAAAATGTCATAACTGATGAGTTGTGCCAGAATGCAGCATGCCTTTTATTTTGTTTGTAATATTTTTATTTTTTGGTAAAAAAAAAGAACAAAATGTCACAAAAGAAACATGCATGACAAGTTTTACGATTATGAGATGGTAAATAGTCTAGTTAAACTGTTTTTTCCGTTTAGTTCAAAAGCAGCAAAAATGAGATGTGTCATTTTGCTAGCGCAGTGGCAATATATTGTTCATCCCATGTCAATAGTAGTCCAAGGGGATGTATAATTTGGAGTGTTTGTAGTATCCCATTTCCCCAGCAGGAATTGAATTTTACACTTCTGTGTTGACAGTTGAACACCATATCTGTCAAGCTACTGAGCCCCCAGTATTGCATTATTTGGTATATCATTTGTAGGGGATGAGTATTATACTTTTTGTCATGTATGATTTACAGCTAGCATATTCTAGCTGGTGATATTAGTCTACATTCTGAGTGACTACAGTAGGGTAAAAAAATTTTGGCGCAACTTATTATCAAATATCTTCTCAACTATCAAACTTTGGTTCTCCAACTTTTGCACAATGACTTGTATCAATTTGTCTTGACAGATCAATATTTTTGTAAACACCTGTTTAGTTGTATTCTAGAAAATTCCTTAAATACTAATAAGAAATCCAAGTGGGTGGCTTCTACAGATTTTAAAAAGTTTACAACCTGGGCAATATCACTTTTAAAAGCAAGTCTGTCATTTTTTTCTTATCGCGATATTATGCCTATTGAATGCGTTTTGAGAACCTTTAGTGCTAAAAATGCAGTCACTATAAAATTAATTTCTTGTAACAAGTTTTGCCACAAAAAGTGTCATTGGTGAGCTGTGACGTAGGCCATATGCGCATGCAAAATGTGTGTGAAAAACGGGAAGTGCTGTGAACAATTTCTTTTTCCGTTTGACGATGATTTACAGTATTTTATATAAATATGTGAGGAAAAGCTTTTTAAAATTAAGCCTCAATTGTTGTGGAAAGATATGATTAAAGTTAAGACAAATTGATACCAACTGCTGTGAAAAATATGGATGACACTGATTCACCAGTGAAAGAGATATTTTGAGATAAGTTGCGCCACCGATTTTTGATCGCACAATACTTTCCTCAGTTTGATTGTGACCTACCTTTCTGCATGTGAATGACTCCAATCGTCTTTTCTTTCTCTTTTTTTTTTCTTCTCTCATTTTTGTGTGGGTTACTTTTCTTTCTTCAGTGAAAAGAAGATGGAAGTGTTCATCAAGTTTGTCAACAGCATGACAGACAATGTGAAGAATTTGATCACAGTCCACCACGAGTATGCAAAAAAGCAATTAGGCCGTAAGTGCATTTTTGCTTCTTAATTTATTCAAAACCTCCTTTGTGAAAATTAATACACTTGAATCTGCTCTAATGACCACCTGTTCAAAACAATAACCTGCCAACTATGACACAGCCAGAGGCTGATGATGGTTCAGATCAGTGCTCAATCCCCATTAAGCTGCTTGCTTTCTCTCAAACATATGCTAGATTGGCATGACTATTGTTGAGTTTTGGAGCAAGGGACATATGTCTTCCGTTAAAGGTATTGCAAAATGGAAGACCAGACCAGGAAGGGGAGAGAGAGAGAGAGGGAGAGAGAGAGAGAGGGAGAGAGAGAGAGAGAGAGAAAGAGACGACATTATCAGTGTCAGTGAGTGATCAATAAAGCTGTATATATTCTTATTTCAAGTAATGACAGTGATCAGTGTTATTATTATTATAATAGTAAATAATGAAACACGTAGAGCTTCTTTAGAGCAGGTATATTTGCCATGTAAATGGAATCTACTGTTATTTTTATTACCTAGTCTTTTGTTACCTCTGTTAGCATGCTTCTATGGAAATCTAACAAACCCCTTTTACCATTTACTTCTCAGCGTTCAAACGAGAGTACAGTAAAATTGGCAGCAGTTATCGCCAGCTGGCCCAGACTTTCACCATGGACAAGGGAGCATGTAAGTTTCTGATCATGTGTGTGCCCAATGCTTTGTCTGTTCGTAGAACTACCTAGTTATGTGTTAACAGTGAGGAAAGAGAGTCTATGTACAAGTCTGAAAAAGGAGAATGTTATGTATATTGATATAATGGCATGTATGTATATATTTTGTGATTCAGAAGCTGATAAAAGCACACTGTCAATTTATTTCCATGTAGTATCAATAAAATGCATCTTATTTTAACTCAAGTGGATGATATGAGCATGCAGTGAAACTCTCCTCCCAGTCTCTGAGTGGACGGTCCCAGCATCCAATGAGATCACAAGAATATATGAAATATTACTGTGAATGCGATCTCTTATGAATCTGAGTGTTAGATAAACATATAATACTTCATCTTTCACTTTAACACAGTTTTAGCCATTTTATAAACATTTTTCCTGCTTCCACTTTTACATATTTCATGAGATCTGGAGGAAAAAAATTCCGTCTAAACATGGAAAATGATTTTGGAGTTAAAGAATTAAGTTACTGCATTGTTTTTTGTTTACAAACTGTTCATCTTGTAAAAAGACAAATATGTCTTGTTTAATGTCACAATTATTTTCAAAGTTATAAATTCGTTTTGTGAAGTGTGCTGCCAAGGGATATCTGTTGTGGTGTACTTCTTCTGTTTCCCTAATCTTTTCATATTGGGATGTGATCATTATTGTTCTCACTTATCATGCACAGAAGCCCATCTTATCTCAGCCTATCAAATGTAAAATGAGCAAGTTCTTATTTTCCAGGTTTGAAAAGGAATTATAGTGGGGGGGGGTTCCTTTTTTTTCTACTGCATTTGCTAACAATCTCGTGTTGTGGAGAAAGTTATAGCCAATGATATTTTTTTAACGAACAATAGGAGGACATGCTGCTACCTTCTTATAATGCTACTCCCAACGCTATTGGATGTAACTTACAAGATGGCTGAGAAAAATTGCTGCTACCTTCATACAATGCCAGCAGCAATATTATTAAATGTAACTGAGAAAATTTTGTTGGTGGAGGGCATCACTTGTAGCTCCTACTTTTTTAAACCCTCGGTTAGATTTTGTCTGTCCATCTTTTTCGAAGCTTAAAACAGCCGTTACAGTGCAGATTTCCTTCGATTTACTAAAACAATACTTATAAACTGACATTCTTCTAGCGTTCTGTCTCATGACAGTCACATTTTTAGCTATATTTGTAAAATAAAACTTACAGTTGCACAGTTGATCTCATAACAAAAATCAATGAATTCATCTTTTCTTTCAGTAACTCCTGCTTCCATTCTTGATAGTAAGTGATTTTAGTCTCCACCCATCCTTGAGCAATTTCCCCACCTTTTACAAAGGACACTTTTTTAAATTTGTTTTGTCATTCAGTTTTGATTTTGGTATAAACTTAGGTACGGGAATTATTTGAATTTCTTTATGTAAAATACATATTACTTTGAAACAGTCTTAGCCATTAAAAGAAACTTTTTCCATTTTCCATTTTTTGTTGCTTCAGTAGGGTTTTCAAGTGTTGATTTATACACAAAAACTTAGTCTGCTTTCTATTTATAATTCCTATTCTTAGCACTTCTTTTATGTAACCTATTGGGCAAAATAATCCAGCAGTTCTTATGGCACAGGGTATAATTCTGTGGAGAAAGGCATTGCTTCTACCACTCCCAGGCCAGGAAGTGTGGGATTTTCTTAAACAATGATGAAATTCCTTTGTGAGAATTATTGCCTTTAGATAAATTCCAGTGAACAGACAAGGTCACAATAAATCGTATCTTTATTCTCTCACTGGTATTGTCTTTGCTTGTGACTGTTCTTGAGAAAGTTATTTCAGATGGAGATACGCTAACTGGTTGTCATTGCATCAAGAGTCAAGACTTTTCTTTACTTCTTTTAAACTTGATGCGTTGATATCTCTGCCCTGCTCAATGATTTCCTTATTTTATATCTTGTCTCCTTTTGCAGGTCATCTTTGTAATATTTTTTCGTTCATGAAGTGTTTACCCCTTCTGGCTTTGTTACACAGCCTTGTTGCTGCTTTCCACATCCCCCAGCCCCTCCACTACCCCAACTACACACCACATCATTCCACCCACCAACCTTTATGATCTTAGTCTTGTCATAGATAGATAATTGTGTGACCATAGCTGCCAAGGCCAGAATGAGAGAATTGTACTATGTGTTACTGAAAAATGTGTCCCACCCAGGCACTACTGAATCCTTCACCCTCTTTTTTTTTACCTTATTCATCATGCAGAAGTGAAAGAAAAAAAGTACTGAGCTTTATTTGTCTCTGTCCTGTCAGGTTATTGACTCAATGAAAGGGGCTTGAGGAGGAGGAGGGGGATAATGAATATTATAGACACACTGCTTGCCAGAAGCAAGTGCCACCCTTTTGATAATGGAATAAAGTATGTAAACGTCTATCCTCAAGGGTGTCTGTATGGCATACGATTACTATCGTAGGCTGGACCTTCCTTTCCCGGGTAGTTGGAGGACACTGCTTGTAGGTCCTATTTCTATTCTTTCCCTCTGTTGTTTCTCTCTGTCTGTCTGTCTGTTTGCTTTGCTTTCTCCCAGCACATAATGATTCTTATTGTGTTGATTCGCATCTGACCTTGCTGTAAAAAAAAATAATTTCTTTTCCCTTGTGTTCTTCCAAGTTCTGTACTCTTCCACTCTCACCACTGGGCCAAGTGCTCTGCCTACAAAACCTTTTTGTGATTAGATAGATGATGAACCAACAGTGTGGTTTGCTCCTTCTTTCCTATTGAACACCTATCGTCTGTATCTCTCCTACTTCTTTTATATTTATGTTACTCACTTATGACACCTCTAATCTTTGGCACTTATATGACCCAGTCATGTTGCAAGTGCTGTAAAACTCGTACAAAAACTAAAAATGAACCCACAAATCCCCCTCACAAAAATCATATGGTTGCAGGTTCACTAACAAGTGGGGCTCCTGTTCTCTTGTCGAGTAACTTTTGTCTTCTGAAAATTTGATTTTGACCCTCCTGCTCCCTCCCCTCCACCCCCCTTCCTCAATAACACTTCTGCGTGTATTAATTTCTTGCACATGTATAACTGCATCTGATTCCATGAACAATCATCCCCCATTACAATATTATAGTCTGTGTTATTATCAGCTGAGTTTGTTTTTTAAACTGTAAATGTTTTACACTTTTATTGGCAGAATTAAAACTTTTTTTTAGGAGGGGGCTGCTTCAGCCCAACCCATTAGCACTAACCTTGGCTGAAAGCTGAGTGGGATACTACTTCCCAGCAGATAGATGGAGGCAATCAATTAAATAACTTTCCCAGCTAAGAATCAAACTCTCATCTACTTCATGCAATGGCGAAAGAGCCAAAGAATTACGTCACAGACACTGGTTTTGCCTCTTTACTGGGTCTCTTTTCACCCATAGATGTTAAAAGAGAGGTCTTGCCAATTTTGTTTTGTCTTATTATAGATACAATGGAATCTGCTTAAACCGAACACGGTTAATCCAAAAACAGTGGAAAGCTGAAATGAAATAGTCTTCTTTTTTTTTCTTCGCTATTCGAGCAATCTTTTAAATTGAAAATACAGCTAAACAGAAGAAAATTTGGTGGTCTCTTAGATTTCGGTTGAATTGGACTCCACTGAAGGTATAAGATTGGTGAGTCACAGGTTCCACCTCTGAGATTGGGTATTGGTATATACAAACATGGTTTCAGAGGGAAAGTTTGCAGCATGTGCACAGTTTGTTCACAATCTTCTTTCAAAACCCAGATCTTGGTACGGATCATTACATTTCTTTGTCAATTTTCTTGTTGCTTTTCTTAAAGTGGGTGATTGGCGAGTGCTCTGGTGTGGTTTGCTGTGTCTTTTTTCTCAAACGTCTATTGTCCTTATCTCTCCTCCTTCTTTTTTGTGTTTGTTACTCCCTTGTAACACCTCTAATCTTCGGCACTTATATGACCGTATTGTGATGCAAGTGCCATGAAACACTTACGAAAACAAACAAAAAATTGTTCGAATATATTGGAATTCTGTTTTATTTTGGTCTTATGTCTGAGGCCCTGGTTTTTCCCATTTTCAACCGTCAGGCAACAACTTTGTTGACTGTTTCGTTTATTGACCAATGTGTTTTTCTCTGGGCACACACCTTTAGTTTTGTCGATAACATGCTGGGTTATGCTAGGTGATAGTGTGAATGTCTCAGTTAGAATCTCGGGGGGAGAAGGTGGTAATTTGGGGATTTTATAAGGCTCTCCACCCACTTTGCTTGGTCCTATTGATGATGAGTGTGAAATTTGGAGGTCCCTCCTCTTGAATTACCTTACAGTATGGAAAGGGGTGTTGAAGCCTTGTTATTTTCTTCACCTAGTTACATTTTTCTCTTTCAGATGCCCAAAGGTTGACTGCCGCTATAGACTACACTGGAGAAGCTTTCAATGATATAGGAGAAATGTTTGCCAAGCAGGTGAAAAATAATGTTTTGAGACTCTTTTCTCATTAACTCTTTTTTTTTTAAATGGAACTTTGGAAAATAAGATTTACTGTGTGTGTCTGCCTGGCTTGATGGAAGAAGAGAAGTAATGTCAGACCACTGCTCCCAAATATGCCTCTTCAGAAGAATTAATCTATATCCCAATATTTTAAAATGTTTTTTCTTCAGACCTTATGACTTTTCAGAGAGTTCAGTAATGTCCCTTAAAAATGGAAAATTGCATGACTTCACAAATATTTCACTCATTCAATGTAGACTATCTATATTAAGATGAGTTGCGGTTCCAAGGCTATGTCGATAATTTTTAATATGAAAATGATACAGTGCTGGAAATTAGGATCAGTCCTTTTGTGTCAGAGTTTGTAGATTTTATAGGATATATTTGTCTAGTCTGTTATTCATAATTCATTATGTCAGGTGTGATTTTTGTTCTTCCTTATCCTTTTCTAATGAATGTTATGTATAATAAGTTCCACTTATCATCAAAGATGCATGGAACAGTCATCCTTATGTTACCCCCACTGAGAATATAAGAGTAAATTTCAAAATATTGTTGCAAAACCCTGTAGGTCCCCCCGAGTGTGGAATAAGTTATACTTTTTCTTTCATTTGTCAACAGCCACCGAAAGATTCATACCCACTCCTGGAGAGCCTGTATGAGTACAAAGGTGTACTGCATGTTTATCCTGATGTGCTGAAAGTTCATGAGGTGAGGTGAGGCCGTCCTGGTCTCTGCTTATGTGTGAGGCAGCATGGTGAAATCAGGCGCTCGTCAAAATAATAAAAGTGAAGAAACTGGCATTTTCTCACAGGTTTGGAAATTTTTATCGAGTTTTTGTTTTTTGATTCAACACCCTTCATGTCCATTAAAGAACACATTTCTATGTAAATTTTTACAGAAAAAAGTTGATTAAAGGCACAAAAAATATAAATTTTCAGTTTTCATGGACTCTCCATCTAAGGAAATAACTAAACTTTGGCAGCCATTTTCCCCGCTAATTTTACTTCCTTCAATCACCAATTTCTCGACTTGTATCCAAGATGAATGGATATTTTTTTCATGGAAAGCGAGACAAATAAACAAGCTTTAAGATGATACCAATAACTCTGCATGCCAAAAAATTGACGAGCACCTGATTCCACCACATAGTGACACATATTGTAATTGTAAGTGTTATGCAACCCCACTTATACCGCCGACCTGGTCTGAATAGGATACAACATCCCAGCTGACTCATAAAGATACTCGATAAAACATCCCCACTGGGGAATGGAACTATCGCCTTCTGCTTGCAATGGTGAAGAGCCTTACTGCGACCCCATAGGCTCCGATGGGTCTTACCTTAGGTTTTAATGGTTTCATGGGATGTTGAATATGTAGTAAAGTAGCAACAGAAACTGCTGATTGTTGTTTCTGAAGTGAGCAAGAATGAGAAGATGACACTGTTCACTCATTGTGCTCTGTTTTTAAGCTGCTGTTAAAATTAAGAGTCGAGTAAGACAATTATTTCTACCTTTACAGAAAAATTGGTGGAGCGCTACATCTGACCTATTATCCTTTAGGGTACTAAGACAAAGAAAGAAGAAAACAAAATATTTACTTTTGAGATTTGGCGCTGCTGCTAAATGGGCAAATTAGCGAGAAAGCAAAAAAGAGAAACAATAAGGAGTGTCAAATGCCCCACAAAATGCCCCACACAAGACAACCGAGCTAAACAAAATGAAAAGGAGAAAAGTATGATACATTTGTCTTATAAAACGCCACCACATCATAATGAAAGAAATACTCAAAGACAAGATGTGGGGCACAAGGGCTAAGGGTGAGCAATTTGCAATGTGGACTAAAACCATCAAAGTTAGTACTGGGCTGACCGTGACAAAATGCTTGAGAGCAGCTAGTGACTAAACAATGGCAGGTCATTATAATATGTCAGCCTCTAACCCAGAGATAACACCTCCAAAATGATACTAGATCAACTGTATGTATTATTTTTTAAATTACGGTCGGGCACAGACAGCACAAACACTCGGAAATTATGGAGAGCTGGTACAAAATGCCATTCCCTGACTGAATTGCTATATTTTCTTTGTACTGGCAAACAACTGGTTTTGATCACGCTCCACCACTCACCACCAACCCCCACTGGACTTGATTCAAGGACATTCTCGTGCCTTGCCCACCCTACAGGTAATGTACGATGATGCAGTGGATACCAGCAGTGTGTGAATCGTGCCATGCAGGGGCGATCCTGGTCAGCTGATACAACCTGATACTCTCGATAACGATGGTTGTGTTATATTCCATCTCACAGGGTGATTTGATTTTGAGACAGTTGTGAGGAGAAATTTGATTGGGTTTTGGGAGACAAGCTGCTTGATCAGTCTGTACTGGTGATTGCGAAAACGTTGCTAATACTAAGGAAATATAGCAGTTCTTATGGATCTGTCCGGTGTGCAATGACATTATTGCCCAGGACAGGTAATACAGGTAGTACAGCAGTTCTGTTGGGAGAATGGCATATTGTTCAAGCTGTCCGTGATTTCAAGTTCTGAGTGTTCATGATGTCTTTGCCCAACTGTATTTTAATGTCATAATATACAACCCAAGTAGTTTGATGCCATGATATAAAACTCAAATACGCGCAGCATGAAATGGAAGAAACACAGCACAACTGTTTCTTCTTTTCTTCCCAGGGTGCGATCGGGAAAGCCAAGGACTGCATGAAACTCCAGGAGGAAGGCAAGATGTCGGAGTCAGAGGTGAACAGCGTGCTGGCCCGAGCTGACACCATTTCGTACGGAACCCTGAGCGAGATGAACCACTTCCAGCATGAGAGAGTGGTCGACTTCAAGCACATGATGCAGAGTTACCTCAGGGAGCAGATCGAGTTCTACAAGCAGGTGAGCGGCACATGTTTTATGTCGTTAAATTTTTTTCTGGGTTTTATGTGGATCAGATTCATCAGAGAAAATATACAGTTTAGTGCACACAAAGCAAAATCAGCGAGACGTGGAAATCTTTTCGTTATGTATGAAATTCGCTGTGTACATGTTTTGAATAAAGAATATAATACATGTATAAGAAAAAATTCAGAACCTAAAGATCTGTTCGCCATGTGGCTGTTTTGCTATATGTTTGCTAGACTGTAATTTCTGCCTCCAGCCTCCATCCCTCAATTATTTTTGTGATGTTTAACATTTTCCTCCCCGTAGTAGTTTAATCTTTTGATAAGTATCCTTGAGAAATATTTGTTAAAGGAAAGTGAAGTATAGTGTACAATCACAGTAATAGTTGCTGAATGCGGGGGGAAAAGTAAGAAAGATGGACAAATAAAATTTAAAAAAAAACAAGATAGACCTACCTGTAGCTCCCTCCAACCACCAGACCACAGCAGAGGGATAATAGATTGTGTGGTTTATAAAGTTTCTAGTAGGTTTGACGATGTTATTTTTCATCTTTTAATCTTTGCGGGGCAATCTTGTTTCCGTAGGTGACAAGCAAGCTGGAACAAGCCTTACAGCATTATGATGATGCATAATGGTCGCTGCACGTAGGTGGGAACCAAGCCTGTGCGTAGCGGTGCTAATTTGTGCACAATATGTCAACATTGTTTATGTTTTTATATAAGTGTACACTTGTACAGAGAGCCAGCATAGTATGCCCAATAGTGATTCAGCATCTGTTATGCCAAGTGCACATGAATGACCCGTAAGAGAAAGTAAATTCATTTGATTGAATGTTCTTCTACATGAGTTAATGATGAATAACCTACTGAATGGTTTGTCTGAGTAGTTGCTTGTTGCGATTGGATAATCTTGACTGGCAGGGTGGGCTGCCTACCTGAACAGGTCACCTGGATAATTGATAATATCCCCTGAACAAATGCATCCTCGCCCATCTGCCTTGTAATATTTCTGTTTGCAGCGTCATCCTGTCTGTCCCTCCAGGTTCAAGTTTGTACTCTATTGAAAACTAGAGAGGTCATAGTGAAATACCGATTGTTACTGTAAAGGATATTTATCTATACATATATATATATTAAATGTGAAAATACTGTGAACATATTATGCGATGTTATTGAATGAAACTTTGTTCCCATTTTGCTTATGGAGAGAAGTGCCTATCTTTTCAATTCGAAGAAATTTTGTAGTTGGAGCCGGGGTGGGGGGGTGCAATGTGTTTTGTTTTGCCCTACGTGCTGGTCACTTGTACTGTGCAACCATCATTTTTCAGTGTTCCTGTGACAGTTCTTTGGCTGCTACTATTTTTTCCCTCCTTATGGTTGACAAACATTAAGTAAAAACATTTCTGCTTTGATGAGAGTACTGCAGAGTGGATTTTTGTTTTAAGGGACTGTCTCTGATTTGTCATGAAGTCTGCCAACAGGAGATCGTAAATTGCCGATTACTTACTCTTTATCTTGCCTTAAAAAAGTGAAATTTCTGTAGTGATATTGACTTTACGTTCTATGTTTAGGATCAGAATTTCCTGAAAAAATTACCCTTTTTTGGGGGGAGGTGCTGAATCAGTATGAAATATGCCTGTCTGTTGAAATTTTGGGTTTGTTTTGTTCTTGCGGCCTTCTTTTTTAATTGAGTCTTATTGTGAGTCCTGGCAAAGAATCTTAGAACCAGTTTGTGCCTGTACAGAGATGTGTACTGTGATTTCTATGTGTGCTTAAAACTACATATTATGGGGGTGATAACCTGTTGTCGTTACTACCGCTTGGGGGGTGCTTGTTTTTTTGTTTAGTTATCAGTTTTGCTGCTCTGAGCTGTCACATATTTATGTTATATATATATATACTTAACAACATACTTTCATGTGAGATATTATTATTATTATTTTTATTAAAGTTTGCAATAGATGTTTGAAATAATGGTCAGATTTTCAGTTGTGATTTTTTGTCTGTCTGAGACGGGTCATCCTGTAGAAGTCTGATGTCCTTTACTTTATTGTGGAGTTCGCTATTTATTTATGTTTCGTGTCCACGGCCTTGGGAGCAAAACCTCCATATTTAAAATTAATTTCTACATTTTGTTGTAGAATTATGAGTATCTCAAATGTTTGTACTCACCTTGTAAAAGCAGGTCGAACATAGATACTCCTTTTTTTTCTTGCAACGACACTTTGCCAATTAAAACAAATGGTCGTGAAAGTTTATCTCCCTCTCCTTTCAATGACTCGACCTCCGAAGTTGTAGATGCCAGAAATGTCCATACCATGTCCAAGCAACTTATCTTCTTCAGTTGTATTAACTTGAGGTGCACACTGACATCTGTGGAGTTATGGTTGTGCTTTTCGACTTTGCTCGCAGAAGATGATACTCATATCAAGTATCATTGCCTGTCTTTTGGGTTGCTGTAGGTCACTCAGCTTGAGTATGCCACCTTCTAAATCTAAACTGTGTCGAAGAGAGCGTAAAACATTTACAATCAGTCATTTACAATCTATCGGGTGCAATATGCACTCTCCTGTGAAATTGTCTTTGTCTCTGTTACACAGTTTTCTTCCAACAAACCATTGATACGCCATTGTGCTTTTATTTTTCCCTCTTGACATTAACATTTTGTCGGGGCAGAAGTCTTTGGTATGTCCTGCCGTCAGGGATGTGGGACAGCATAAATGCTCTGTACTCTCTCTGTCTATGGAAACTGTACTGAGATTTCTTATGTTAGCGCTTACAGGGTGTAGCTATCGCACCCGGTGTTGATGTATGTATGTGTGGTCTTAAAGATCAATCAGATTTGTCAGTATTGTTTGGCTGGGGCCTTTAATGAAATATGAAATTGCGAACAGAGCAGGTATAGATTCACACTTTCACTGTGTGCTGTATTTTAGACAGTATAAAAATCTGGTAAATGCTGGTACAAATATGTTGTCGGAAGATGTTTGGTTATTTTCCCTGTGTCTGACGGCGATGATAATTAACTAGTGCTGCAAATTTCCTTGTGATGCAAAATAGCTTGGGTTGTTGGTACAGGTCATTGTCATTGAAAAATGGGCCTTGTTATGATTTTCTGATGTCTGCATAAGGAAAGTTATGTTTTGCTACTTCGTTATTGTTTTTTATTTCTAATTTGTCACTTTTAAAATGTTTATTGATACTGTGGTCATGATAGACCTTAGTTAAACTCAGATTGAAATACTGGGTGTGTACTAACATTTATAGCAGCTTATAATCACCAATGTTGTGCTAGTTTTCAATTGTGCAATGCTATTTCTATGACTGCATGTAAGAAATTGAGATGTTAGCTAACTGACACATATGCATGTAATATATAAATATCATATATTATGAATAATTAAAATGATTCAATGAGGACTTGTAGTTTACAGGAGCCAATAGGTTGGCATGTTGAAACCTACATGATGTAGTGTGTTTACCTGGTAATGAATGCTGCATGTGTTTGAAATGGATATCTATGGGATGTGTGTGCAAGGGGTTTAGGAGGGGGGGGGGGATTTCAATGTTTGTTCGAGGGATGGGAGAAGTAAATGGTAGATGCAAAATCTTTAAAATTATCATCTGCATTTAGGCATACTTTTTTCATGGGCTACAGCTTTTGAGTATGGTTTAATGCAAGAGAAAAGGAGACAGTGTGAGAGAGACTGATGGATAATTTATAGTGTTAAAGAGGTAGAGAGGAAGGGAGACAGTGTGTGAGAAAGACTGGGTGAATGGATTATAATGTTAGAGAGATGGAGGGTGGGGGGGGGGAGGATGTAAGAAAAAGACTGGGTGAATGCTTGTGACAAGATTGGTGAGAGAGAGGGACACAGAGAAAAAGTGAGAGATTGTGAGTGTGAGAAAGACAATGAGTGACAATATTGATTAGATAGAGGAAGAAGGAATGAGTAATTAACAGAGATGGAGAGAGAGGAAGAGGGAAAAAAGTGGGATTGAGTATTAGACTCGAAAAGGACAAAAAGGCAAGGCTTTGGATGCAGAGCAAAAGTTGGGAGGGGGGGGGGGCAGTTGGTTCTAGATGTTTACATACTGAATTCTGTGTTTACCTGGAGCTAGGAAGCCTATGGTGCTCGGAATCTTGTGTAAACGCAGTAGTGACCACTGCCCCTTTATGTGAGAGCAGCTGGGTGTTTCAGTGTGCTTAGTCGTAAACGTAGTCTTCACTTCTTTTTTCTTTTCGAGCATTGCTGATAGTGACTTTTTTTTCTTTCTTTTTTTTTGGTTTGTTTGTATTGTTTTGAGGGGAAGGCAGGGGATGAGAATAGGCTCAATAGATTGATTGTGGTTCTTTGTTTTGAGTTAATATGTTCCCGTTGAATGTGTCGTTGTATCCTTACTGGGTGCAACATTATCTTTGCTAAACTGTCATAGTGAATATTTCTATGAAAATGTCAACATTTTGTGCGTATCCTAATTTTTTTGTGTTATCAAAACTCCCCCATTATACCTACTGCTGACTTATTTTCTTTTATGTTAATTTGTATCACACTTTGCCACTCTCATTGTACTTTTCCATTTCCTTGATTGCATTCAGGAAGAATTTTTTTTTAACGTTTTTGTTTTGTTATTTTCTTTTTTGTCACCACTTTTTTCCTTTACACTTTGTATTTGATGGACTGGTAGTGTTCATGGTCATGCACTATTTTCTTGTGTTTTCATCAGGTTCAGTTTCTGTCTCCCGTTTTTCTACCACTGACTTTTTGTATGGAACTTTGTTTGTCTTAGTAGCTCTCACTCACATTGTAGATTTGGTAATTGAAAAAGATGTTCGTGTACGAGCAATATTTATGTTGATTGTATCTTAACAAAAGCATGATTCCATAAACTGTTAACGTAACTTTTTCCTCTTATACTATAAAACAAAAAATAATATCTACTTTAAAATCAAAGAGCAGAAATATCCTGTCTGCTGAAAAATGCTGTGAAGTGGATCCTTTTTAAAATCAAAATAAAGTGTTTTGGTTACCAGGTTTGGTTTATTTTATTATTTCTTTTAAAAACGAATTTAAATTCAATGGTTTTTTTTTTATTCTTGTGGAAAAGTTTTGAAAAGGAATGTTTGTGTGAACAGAGGCAAATTGTGTCTTGTTGTATTTTTGGGAGCAGATTCATTTACAAAGCCATCACTTTCATTTTAATGAATTTTGTTCTAGTATGAATTAATTCCTGTGTGTTAACCCTTATCTTGAGTGTGTTGTATCAATACATTTATTGCATGAGATGAAATATAGTTACAAAGCTCTCTATTTTCCATACAATTAGGTCTTTCAAATTATGAAGTCGTTCTCAAATTACAGGCCTTTGGCCCGGTATTTAGATGATAACCCAATATGAAGAAGATCAATTTTTCTACCTTTGGTAGAAAGTAGAGTAACTAACTAGTCATGTAGATAGCTTACAGTTCTTGATTCCAAAACCTTTCAAGACTGTCAAAGCTAAATACTTTTTTGCTAAGGGGTTTGGTATGTCTTTCAGTTTTCTGATTGTTAATGCCTCTACAGTCTTATTGCAATAATTAATACCTGTTCTGTATCCCACTCCCTCCTCCTATAGCTAGTTGCATTGATGAGAGAGAGAATATGAAACATATGAGCAGAAAAATTGTAAAAAGGAAAGGACAATGTAGTGTTAATACAGTCGAAATTGTCCAAGACAGCCACCCCAATGTGGATGAGAAAATCGATTGTTTTAGACAGGTGGACGGCTTGAGTGGTGTCTATTTGATACAGGAAAAATGCAAGGGAGGAAGTGGGAAGTGGTTGTTTTTGGAGGTGGTTGTCTTAGACAGGTGGCCATTAGAGCAGGTTCAACTGTATTGTATCAAGTGATAGAGTTTGAGGGTAGTAAGTATTACTGTACAAAGAATCGTGTACGTGATAAGGGTAGCACAGTCAAGTACTTAAATGTCCATAACACAGCGGGTTCGTTCTGCACGCATGCTGCCGTTGTGCTATCACTTTGTATGGCATAATGTGATGAGCCTCTCTGTAGGCACCAGGTCAGTTGAACTGTAATGGTCAATTTTTCTTTTCTTTTGTTGATGCTTGTGTGTTGGTTGTCTTCGGCTCAGATATTCCATCCGGTATGCAAGTCAAATTCCCTGATTTAAAAAATATTTGTTATATCACTGTGATCAGCAGGATCCTTGTGAGAAAATGAAAGTATCCGTAGTACCTTTTTCTCAATTTAAGCATCTCATTTAAATTGTTTTGAGAACAGGAATATCAGTAGTACATCCGTCTTTGTTTTAAAGTCCTGTGAATGCTTATTAGAAAATAGGAGTTTGACTAGTTCATGTATCAGGAGTAGGCCTACACGTTTTTCTGAATTTAAGCATCTCATGATACAAATTAGCAATTGCCAAAACGTGAGACTCTTGAGACTGAGTGGTGCAAAGAAATTTTTCTTACCAATTTGATTCCCTTTTCTGTCAGTCACAGATTGACATTTAGTGCTCATACTCCTAGAGTATCGGAGCAAGGAGATGTAGGGTTTTGGAGATATGGGTCTATTGGTTTGGCAACACTGTATTTCTTGTATGTAACAGTGATGACAAAAACAGATAAAGAGCAAGGCAAATTATAGACTTTAAATTCCATTTGTTTAGTAAACAAAGACTTTGTACACTATGAACTCCATTCGTAATGGTAATATGAATGACAAGCTTTGTAACAATGACGCAGTACGCAGAACATGTCATCATTGTTATGTACAAGAAAGGATACACATTGGACATTATCATGGACAACACATCACAATAGTGAAAGACTGTACAAATACAGTTATCAAAGCCTCAGCACCAGAAAAACACATATGTAAAACAATTTTTTAACTAATATGAGGCAAAAGTACAAAATCAATGGGGCGGACTTGTACTTAACAATGATGACACAATGTACAGGAAAAGAAAAGTCATGCTTCCAGAGAGAAATGCGCACTTTTGGAATTAAAAAAAACACAGTAGAGGTTTCTTTTGCTTTGAGACAGATATCAGGTCAAATCGAAGACAGTGGACAATCACAATTATGTTGCTAATTATGACAAACAGTAGGGCCTACTCGTACATAACAGTGATGACAAAACATACTAGGAAAAGGTAAAATCATACCTACAAAGAACAAATTTGCACTCTGAGATACACAAATCAATAAAGGCGTTTTTTGCTTCTAAATGAATCTTGCATGTATGAAATATATGTTGAAAACTTATTGATATTATCAATGATGATAAATATTACTTGTGCATAGCAATGATGACACAATGACACAATGTATTGGAAAAAGGCATATCATGCCAATAAAGAACAAATGTGTACTTTTGAGTTAGACAGATAAACAAGGACATGTTTGTCTATATGTTTGAGTAAAGAGAGCACACATGACATAAAAAATGTTTGCTCTTAGGACAATGTAATTTCTAGTATGTCAGTCTTGTACGGCTGCATGACGACACCCCAAACATCATCACTAAGCAAAATAGCTAAATCTATGACCACAGAAATGACACATCTTTCGAAGTTTGTTCACACATCACACTGTTGTTCCAGGAATCCAAAGTAGACACCGCAATTTCACTAAAATATTCAATAGGGTAGCCTAAAAATATGCAAAACAGTCCTGTACATCGCATTCAATGTAAGATTCTTGTGCGTCACCGGACGCTGACGGCAATGACTACTTTCGTTTTTCTCTTTCCGCCGTTGCTTCCGCTGTTCGGGGGAAGCGGGTACGGGGAAGTCACTCGAGAAAACAATTATATGCGGGCACTGTTGATGATCCGTTCAAAACAAAAGTAGGCTAAAATTCGGACTTCCGGTACGTCGCAAAGTGACGAATATCACGGCGAATGTTAAACAGCCATCCAAAATTGTAGATCTAGGAACCCGATGTTCCTTTCGTGCATCACAGCTTTTGAAGTATTGAATAAACGACGAAAAGCAAAAAGATTTAACCGGCGGTGGTGATTCTACTGAAAAATAATGGTGTTTTCTGAAACACCTAGTCCATGACGACGCGACGGACACACAAGTGTGCAAACAAATAAACCGATTTCTTGAGCAAGTTAACCTTTCTGGATGACATATAGCATAGGATCAAAGCACCGTTTAAAAAAAACACACGAAAAAAACCCTAAATTTTGGACATTCTTGGAAGTTTGCACTGGTGTGCTCAAAATGAGAGTCCAGGAATCATTAAAAAACGAACATTTTTGGCACAAAATTTACAAACTCAAGATTGTAAAGCTGACACGGGGTCTGAAACTGCTAATGCAGGTTCTACATCCTATATTTGACATGTGTATAAGTTTTGGAGGAATAAATACTAATGCATCACATTTTATGCACACTAATGTCAGATGTATGTGTTTTTCCCCACGTTTTGGCAATGGCTCAAATACTTATAAAACATTGTGAATTTGTTTCTTGATCCTGAGAAAATGAGGGTGTCAGCTGTAGGCCTACATCATTCTGAATTTGTTGAGGTCTAAAGAATGTTCATGACGAAATTAATGAAGTAAACAGTATTTGAAACGGGATTTGGGGCATAGAATTAAAACATGATTATCACAGTACATTATGTTTAGGATGTTGAAATGCTCCTATTTGCAGCACTACCTATAGAGAACTCGTTAGTTGTTGGAGTTGGAGGCTTTCAAGAGATGTATTTGGCTCTTTGTTTGTTTGTTTTTTGTCCTGAAAAAATTGTTTGTTCTGTTGTTGAATGCTTTCAAGAGACATTGTTTCTTTGCCTTGTTTGTTTGTTTTTTGATCTAAAGAAAATGTGTGTTGTGTTGTTTTTGTTTGTGTTTTCACAGAATGCTTATGGAGTCTGTATGCTTTGTATGTACCCACTCCCCCTTCGTTTTGTTTATAAATAAAAGAGTACACACTTCCTATTTCTTTTCTTTTGTAACTTATTTCTTCAATTCTTAAGAAAAATGTGTTCGGTAATGATGCTAATCCAAATTAGGTAAAAAAATTGTTTTATCATTTGTCTTTGCCGTATCATCGTCTTCTCTTTTTCTTTTAGTCGTGGGTGGTTGGTGGGTGCTGTGATGTGGTTTGCTCCTTATTTCCTATCAAACATCAATCGTATGGGTGGTTGGCGGGTGCTCTGGTGTGGTTTGCTTCTTCTTTCCTATCAAACATCTATTGTCTTTATCTCCCCTCCTTCTTTTTTGTGTTTGTTACTCTCCTGTAACACCTCTGATCTTTGGTACTTATATGACCTTATTGTGTTGCAAGTGCCGTAAAACACTTACTAAAACAACATTTTTCTTTCTAGTACAGTAGTTTGTCTTTCATTCAATCTGTGATGAAACATTTCTTCTGTCAACTTTAACTTTTGTTGTCACATTCCATTTCGGTTTTTCACATATTATTATTAATTCTAGCCAGTTTTTAAATGAAAATACTCTTAAAGCTTTTCCGCCCAGCCTCGCTTTTAACTGAGTTTTTGTGTGTGGAAGATTTCATTGAATTGATTTTGCAGTCTGTGGCACTTTGGAACATTATCTGTTCTACTGCTCTGTGTGAAGAAAGACTGTTTCTGCTACTACCGTTGTTAACTACAATACTTTAGTGTTTTAATAAATTTTAACACTTAATACACCTATGTTTGGTAGAATTTTAATTTCATTTTACACTAACTCCTGTCTTCGTGACCGGAATGCAGTGTTTTAAGAGTGATGTATACTTCAATACCGGGAAAATGGCAGTCTCATGCATATCATGTACAACTTAAAAGTTTATAGCTCTCTATTGACTGAAACAAACATGATTGCACCACAGATCTCTTAATGAAAAAATTTGGTACATGACTTACTTGTGATCAGTGTGCCATTCTTTTGTTTTAGTCCCATTGTTCCTCCTCAGGCTACATTTTTAAGGTCAGTTGGTATCCTCTTGTGGTAAGATGGCGATCACCGTAATTTAAATCTTTTAAGGGGTATTTTTGAACGTGGGTTGTGTGGAAAGTTATCATTGCTCCCTTTACTCACTTTTACAACTGGCCTTGTATTGGGGACGTGTACAAAAATAGGAGGTCCTGCCTTATAGGGAATAAAGTTTAACCTGTTGTTAAAAGAGTAACAAACACATACTATATTATTTTACCTGATTATATCATACTATACCATGCATTACCATACCGTACCATACCATATATGGATACCATACCATACTACCGTCACATGCAGAAAACCTGAGTTCAAATCCAGTGTGGGGAGAATTTTTATCAAATATATATATAACTGTCTCCCCTGGGACGTTGTATCCCTCTCGGTCCTGGTTGGCCTTGACAGGCAGGGTCAAAGCCCATCTCCTATAATAATTATCAAAACTGTCGAGGGGAATGTAAAGACACCTACCACATTAAAAGAGAATGAAATCTCTCCTTAGTTTGGCAGTAAACAAGTACAGCCCACTCCTCTTCAGCTCGTATTCCACTGATGTCCCTGTACTGGTATAATGAATTTATAATGGTTTTTTCCTTCTTTCCCACTACATGTATCAAAAATCTGTTGCCCTATTCTCTCCTCCTCCTTTTTTTTGCATGTTAAAATGTAGGCCTACTAAGCCCCCAAC